AACTCGTATTGATTAAATAGGAGTTTTATATCTTACATGTAAGATCATAGATGACGGAGGGCGCATATAGCACGACGTGTAGATCGAACGGTTGTTATAGAGGAAGAGTAAGATCATGCATGACGGATGGCTCATATAGCAAGGCGTATAGATCAAACGGTTATTATAGAGGGAGAACCCCGCTTAGTAAAACTCGCTCTTTTATAGTGTGATACATATGCACGCAAAGTTAAGGAGATAAGCTTTCCAACAGCTGTGGACGCATGTAAAATATTATGAGATTTGTTGTTATACTTCTAGATGACTACGAGCCCTTTATCATTTAATAAGTTCATATGGTTAAAATAGTTACTACCTAAAAGGTGATATGCGAAATATATATCTATTTAATTATTAATTTAGTAAAATAGGATAATAAGAAAAATTATATATATAAAAGTCACTTTTCCATATCCAAATGATGCATGCGTGATCTATTTGATATGGTAAATATTTTTATTTTGCAACATTGGGTATGACATGATTTCATTAGCATAAACTGCCACAACAACTATGTATGTGATATAATTTGATTAACAAAGTACAAGAAAAATGTGTAAAAGATGAGCAAAAATACACACTGATCTAGTACAAATAAAAATGCTTGGTAGCAACAATAAAAAGACATGATTGATCAAAAAAAAAGTTGAAAATAAAATAGTGTCGCCACAGTTTACACTATTGCACACCCTTATAGTTTGTAGGGACCTTCTCATATTCCACGGCCTTGGCATAAGCCAAAAGCCATGTTCGTTTGACTTATAAGACGCACTTTTTCAACCAACGAACAATATTTTTCTTTCACAACAAATCAGCCAACAGTACTTTCAGCCATGGCTTATCAGCCAAGCGAACAGGGCAATGTCACCGGATGTGTCAGAGAGGCTTTGCAAGCTAGGGTGTTTAAGTTTTTTTTTATCAAAATCAGGAGGGGTGTTTAAGTTGTTAGATGTTGCTATATGCGAACATAGTTGCTAAGGGTGGATTTTGTGGGACTGCCTTACCAAGTTAGTTGGCTTGGCATGGTATTTTTGTTTTCTCTAATGTTTCAGATTTCTTTGACTTGTCACATCCATAGCCCATTATAAGAGAAGAAGCACAATAAGTAACTCTATTTTTTGAAACATTTTGTATGGCATCCTGGGCATATTGGTAGTAGGAGTATATATAGTAGTCATCGGTGTTGATCTAGCTTATAAGCATGTAAAATGTTGATGCATATCATCCATAACTGTTGATGCATCATTCATTTATCATGAGCGTGCAGTGTGCTCTAAATCTTCAGCCACCGGTAGTTCAGATGGCACAATCCACATTGTAGGGGGGAAGAAAGGGAGGATATTTGAAGTCGGATTTGGATAGACGGGCGATCCGGGAAGAGAGTGACAGACAAAAGAAATTAGCATGCTAATATCAGGTAGAGATAAATGCAATTTGTTGAGAAAATTAGAAAAAGAATAATAAACCACAAAATATATCTAGGTCGAGTTGGAAAAATATCAACGCCAAATGTCGAGTTGGAAAAATATCCACGGTAAGCAGCAACCGTCTTCCATTTCGAAGCTTGGTGGTGGACAGACCAATTGGCACTGGTCCACTGGGCTGCCGCCTGCACGGACCGCCGCGCCCACAGCATTTTATCCACGTCAAAACCTGTCGGCCTGACCCAACCCAACCCGTCTGGAAAAACCGTCGGCCCAAACGGGCTTTGAGGCACGGCCGAATGCCCAATCGTATGACCCGCTCGCGACACTATAAAAAACCAGGACGACTGATCGCGGTCACCAGACACCAGCCAGGCAGCCACAGAGCCCAGAGGAGAGCAAACATACTTTCCACTCACACGAACACGTCCCAAGAACACCGACGATGAGCGTGGAGATCCTGGACGGGAGCACGGGCGGAGCTTCGTGGAGGACGAGGGCGCCTTCAACTCCTCGGTGGACGGCCGGTTCGATGCTCTCGACGCCGACCACGACGGCCTGCTCACCTACGCAGAGATGGCCGGGGAGCTCATGAGCCTTCGCGTGCTAGAGAAACACTTCGGCGTGGACGAGGCCGTGGCGGCGCCCGAGGAGCTCGCAAGGCTGTACCGCGGCCTGTTCGCGCGGTTCGACGGGGACGGCAGCGACAAGGTGGACATGCACGAGTTCCGCGCCGAGATGAGGGAGGTGATGCTCGCCGTGGCCAACGGACCGGGCTTCCTCCCCGTGCAAATGGTCGTCGAGGAGGGCAGCTTCCTCAAGGTGGCCGTCGACAGGGAGCTCGGCCAGCTCGCCAAAGCTGTCTAAGGCCATGTTTAGTTATTCTTCATAAAATTTACTCCCTATCTCCCATCGAATATTTGACATATGCATGGAGTATTAAATATAGACTAAAAAATAATTAATTGCACAGCTTCCGACTAATATGGTGCTACAGTAACACATGCGTTAATGACGGATTAATTAGGCTTAATAAATTCGTCTCGCGGATTACTGACGGGTTCTGTAATTGGTTTTTTTATTAGTATCCAAACATCCCATACGACACCTCTACGTGACACCCGATATGATAACTCAAAACTTTACGTCCTAGATTTAAACCATGCCTAAAGCTCACGCGCGCGGAATACTTATATATATAGACTGGTGGAGTAATAAATTTTGAAGTGTCACAAGGCACAACTGCAGTTTTTACATCTGTCGAGAGTTACAGTGCCGCTACCAACATATATTGGTAGTGCGCACTGCTTGATACTTGTTCTTTCATCATTACCTAAAACCATGATCGTGTACTTCCACCGTCAAGATGAGTAATTTGCTTGAAAATTCAGACATGTTCTTGTCTTTGGGCATTCTCAAGAATTTGTTGTGGCAAAAAAAAATCAGAAAATACATGTTTCTTAGGATTAAAACTCAAGACCTCAATGCTCATGTTCCCTCATGCTACGCGACACGTGTGAATATATAGCTGACGATGTTCTTTTAACTATACAATTTCAAATCTTATATTATATATTTTACAATCGAAATGATCTTAAATGAAAAGGTTATTAACTACAAAATTGTAGATCTCGTCAAGTACTATAACTTTGGTGTTGACTTTGTCTTCATTCAACATTGTTAATCATCTCAAATCTGCATATACTGAATATTTGGAATTGTAAACCGTCTCTTTAAACTCTATAATTTTGATATAAAGTTTATCTTGATCCGATCTTATATGAAAAAAATTATAATTTCTTTTATGCAAAAGTGCCTATTACTGGCAGTTCAAACTACGACTCAGCAATGAGGTGGATATGTCATTGCTGGTTCGTGGCTTCAACCAACAGTGATAGTACACAACCTACAGTGATAGTACACAACCTATCACTGCCAGTTCAAGCCACGAACTGGCAGTGATAGCTCACCAATCACTGTCGGTTGAAGCCATGAATCGCCACTGATACGCTATCACTGTCGGTTCTAAAACCAACTGACGGTGATAATCCGGCAGTGATAATCTTTTAGGCGTAGTGCATGTTTGAATCCACCTCTGATTCCAGTAGTCTATACTAAATCATCGCTTAGAACGCATACAAACTCTGTTTTTAGGTTATACATATGCACAGAATGCTAGAAAGCTAAGGAGATAAGGTTTCAAATAGCTGTGGTCCCACGTAAGATGTTACGAGCTTTGCTGTGATATTCCCAAATGACTATGAGCCCTATATGCAATAAGTTCAGATGGTTAAAATCATCTATTACTACATAAAAGGTAATAGATGAAATATATATATATATATATATATATATATATATATAGTAAAATAGGATAAATAAGAAAATTTTTAGATATAAAAACCTTTATTCTCGATCTAACTGATGCATACGTGATCAATTTGATATGGTAAATCTTTTTATTTTGCAACATTGGATATAGCATAATTTTATTAGCATAAATTGCCATGACAACTATGTATTTGATATAATTTGATCAACAAAGTACAAGAAAAATATGTACAAGAGTGAAAATATACACCGATCTTCTACAAATAAAAATGCTTGGGAGCTGCAACAAAACGACGTGATTGGTCAAAAAAAGTTGCATGAAAACAAAACTGAGTGTCGCCATGGTTTATAGTATTGAACACTCTTATCCTTTGCAATGATCTTCTCATGTTCCACGGCTTTGGCATCAAGCCAAAAGCTGACGATGTCCTTGCTGGCCGCCAACTCCATGTCGCTGATGTTCTCGCCCATTGTCGCGTCGCCGGACGCGCCAGAGAGGCTTTGTAAGCTAGGGTGTTTAAGGTTTTAGAGCATCTCCAAGAGTTAAAAAAAAACCTTCTGTATCCTTGTTTTTTTTTGTAAGATTAGAAAAAATCTCTCTCCAACAACTCCCAATTCACATCCTCCTAAATTTTTGGCACTCGGAAAAAAACTCCACGTCCACTTAAAGTTGCGCGAGAAAATTTTGGCACTTAGGAAAAAACTCCACGTCCACTTAAAGTTGTGCGCTCTATCCGTCACGCGTATCCTTCTTTCCAGCGCTTTCTACTACGTGGCGTGGTACTTTCTGGCGCGACTCATCTTCTTCGCGCCATGATCTCGTGGGGCGACGTGTACAAGGTGGCGGCAGTGATGGTGCCGCTGTAAGTGCTGCTGCTGCTGCTGGTGTTTCTATCTGTCCGGTGGTGGAAGATCTTCACGCCGGAGCAGTGCGAGTCCGTGAACGTATGTCCGGTGGTGGAAGATGTTGACGCCGGAGCAGTGCGAGTCCGTGAACAGCCTCTTGTTCACGATACCATTCTTGACGTTCGGGTTTACGGTCCACATCGACCCCTTGCGTGCCAACTACAGCGCCATCACCGCCGACGTCGTCTCCAAGGTCGTCATCGGCGCCCGGTGGGTGCTGTTCGCCCGGGGCCCGTCAACTGGTCCATCACTGGCTTCTCCCTGTCCACGCTCACGAGCTCGCTTATCGTCGGCGTGCCCATGGCGCAGGCCATGTACGGCGACTGGGCGCAACAGATCGTGGTGCAGCTCTCCGTCTTCCAAGCCATCGTCTGGATCATGCTCCTCCTATTCGCGCTCGAGGTCAGGAAGGCCGCCCTCGGGACGATGGAGATGTGCGGCCAGGCTAGGACGTGGCGGCAACCGGCAGGGAGGAGGCGGCGCAAAACCCTTTCGCGCGGCCCCTGCGAAGTTGCAGTAAAAAAAAGTAGCCCAGAAAGGCCTGTTAGACCAAAATTTAATTTTTTTTGGAAGTGATTTATTAGATAGAGATGACTTTCTTTTTTTTCTCTCAATACATTTTCTAAAGTTGCAAAACTATATGTTACCATATGCGAACGTAGTTCCTAGAGATGGATTTCGTGGGACTGTATTACCAAGTTAGGTGGCTTGGCATGCTATTTTGGTTTCCTCTAATGTTTTAGCCTGTATAATAGCGAAGCACAATAAGTAACTTTATTTTTTTGAAACATTATTTTGTATGGCATATCCTGGGCATATTGGTAGTAGGAGTATATATAGTAGTCATCAGTGTTGATCTAGCTTATAAGCATGCAAAATGTTGGTGCAGATCATCCATAACTGTTGATGCATCATTCATTTATCATGAGCGTGCAGTGTGCTCTAAATCTTCAGCCATCGGTAGTTCAGATGGCACAATCCACTGGCCTGTTCGTTTGAATTTATCAGCCGGCTTATCAGCTATAATCTATAATATTTTTCTTTCACAACAAAACAGCTTCAGTCGTCTTATCAGCCGGCTTTAATACCAGCCGAACAGGTAAGGGGGGAGAACGGGAGGATCTTTGGAATCGGTTTTGGAGGACGGGCAGAACGTGAAGTGAGTGACAGGCCAAAGAAATTACCACACTAATATTAGGTAGAGATAAATGCAATTTATTGAGAAAAATTAGAAAAAAGAATACAACCACTATATATATATATATATATATATATAGTTGAAAAATAGCATCGCCGAAAACCTTGAGGTTGAAAGTGTTGTCTAGGAGTTGCCTGGAAATTTGATGAAACCTGCCTGACCAGGCAAACTTGAGAATGGTTTGTTTGGTTGAAAGCCTGTGCCTGAGCAAGTTAATAGTAGAAAACTTTCTAACTTACATCTAATGGATTTTGTTATACACTTTGATTGTACCATTAAATGGTAATACATCAATTAATCTAGCAAGAAACATATTTGGATCAAATATTTTTTTTCAAATTTTTTTGCGAAGTATTTAATCTAGTCATGTCAAAAAAATATGCAAGAAAATCATGATAAAGTTGTATAATACTGTGATGTGTATATATTCTAATATTCATGTCGTCTAAAAGCTAACACATGTTGCTTTATCTTCTATTTATATATGTCTCCTTGTCTCCTGATCATGATGGCGCAGGGTCACTAGCCCAGGCAATCACACTGCAACGTCCTGGCAGTCGATTTCGATAGCCTGGCCACAGGCAGCTCTTGCCTCGCAGGCAACTTTTCAGGGCTCCAAACAAACACGGTACAGGCAGGGTCCAGGCAACAGTTTTTTTTTCAGGCAATCTCAGCCGCCCAGGCTCATAACCAAACAAGCCCCGTGCCACTAGACTCTGCGCGCGCAAGCCGCGTGCTGCCTTTCTCCGCGCCTGGCCTCGCGAGCTCATCCGACCGCCCTGTGTCTGTGTGTGCCCCAGCTCGTCACACGAGCCTAGCCGGCTGACCACCACGCGCATCAGCCGGGCGTGCGAGGGAGCGTTGCACCGCCTCGGGTTCTCAACCCGGCCGTTCCAGTCCTCCAGCCATCCAGCGCCATCGCGGAGGCGCTCTTCGAGACAGCACAGGACAGTGGGGGGACCTGTCAGCCAGCGGAAGGCAGCCCCCCACGCGCGCTCTCTCTCCCCCTCGCATCGGCAATATGAAAAGGAAGGGTGCGTTCATCGGCAAAACTTCCCAGTCACACATAGTACCTGTTTACAACATGACGTCGTCAAAATTCGTGCTACCTGGTGGCTGCTGCAACCTCGGGTGATCAGTTTGGCTCAGGGAGCCAGCAGGTCCCAAGGGCCGACCGGCCAAACAAAAGATAACAAAGTACGTACTCCATCGTATAGAAGCTTAGCACATTCCATGTTACTACTATTAGGTACTTATATGTGGTGGAGTAATAATGTAGTGGCCAATAAATTGTTGAGCAAGTCCTTGTTTAAGATAACTATAATAAACATCGATTGTTCATGTAGGCAAGTGTTCAAACAAAAACTAGCAAGCACACGCATCGGTTCTGGAGCATTTGAATCGAACGGTGACTACGCAGCGATTTGGGGGTACAGAGAGAAGCAAGTACGCATGTTCTGTACAGCTCAACAGAAGAGGAAAAGTATATTGTTATTATACGGCACTTACCTCTAGTAGATCTCGAATTCTCAAACTCAATCCTAATGGTAGACCCCCATGATTGAGGCGACGAAAATTCTTGCGTGTGATCGGAATCTACAGTGTACTTGCCACATATCGGCATCCCAAAGCGTACTGGGATCTGTCGGCCTTCTGACAGCCTATAGGGCCTGTCGGCCAGCAGAAGGCCGACAGGTTCTGTCTCCCCCGCCGCCACCGCCGCCCCCCCACCAACCCGGCCCACGGGCTGCTCGGCGGCGGCTGTGAAGGTAAGTTTTTTTTTAATTTAGATTTTATTTTTTTTAGTTACTTTATTAGTTAGTTTAGTTAATTAGATTAGTTAGTTAGTTTCGTTTTAGGGTTTGTTTTAGGGTTAGGGTTAGTTTAGTTTGATTTAGTTTTTTTAGTTAGTTTAATTCAGTTTAGTTAGATTACTTAGTATATTTAGTTAGTTTAGTTAATTAGATTAGCTAGTTAGTTTAGTTTTAGGGTCTTTTTTTAGGTTAGTTTTAGTTGTAGATTAGGGTTTGTTTTAGGGTTAGGGTTAGTTTAGTTTGATTTTGTTTTTTTTTGTTAGTTTAATTTAGTTTAGTTAGATTACTTAGTATATTTAGTTAGTTTAGTTAATTAGATTAGTTAGTATTGTTTTAGGGTTAGTTTTAGTTGTAGATTAGGGTTTGTAAAATTCTCTAAGTTATGGTGTATGTTATATGTCCGGAAAAGGAGATCAAATATTTTTACTGTTGCTCGAAAAGTGGTAATAGTTGTGTTCGGGAAAGGTATTGAGTGCAAAGACAGCATAAAAATGGTGTAGTCGGGGCCTGTCGGCTGACCAAAAGCCGACAGGACATGTCGGCCCTCCAGCGACCGGCAGGGCTGCTGTCGGCGCTGACAGGTCGGCGTCGGCTGCCACGTGAGCCTTATCGGCTGTTGACATGCCAACTGGGACCTGTAGGTCTTCCAGCGGCCGACAGGGGCCCTGTCGGCCGTCCAGTGGCCGATAGGATGCTATACCTGAATTAAATGAATAATAGCTTCTAGATTTGCAATGATCATTTAAAAAAATATTATTTTAAAAAAATTCTACAAATGATCACGTGCTGCGCTGTTCTTCGGGGCAAGAGAGAAGCAACCAAGAGTGATTGACGGAATCTGCCTTTGGTCAACTGGCAAGACAATGTTTTTTTTTTTCCTAAACAAAAGAGGTATATATATATATATATATATATATATATATATATATATATATATATATATATATGATTAATTGGCGCTGTTATTGGAAATTGAAGCTTGGATTTTACACCATGGATTATACTTTGATGTGCTGTGATTTGACTTGAGGGTTGTGATTAGAGAAGCAAGACAGTGGGCATAATGCCATCATCAATTTGTTAAAACTTAAAAGTTAGGCAGATGTCCTGCCCACCTCTTATCTCAATTTTATATATAGGCATGAAACTTATGGTGAAGTAAGCACGAATAATGGCTTTGACTTGTGAAAATTCATTTGTGCTATTAATGTAAATTGGATTTTTTTATGTCTTGAATTATACTGATGTGTTGTGATTAGACTTGGGGGCTATCTTACCACACTCGCTTTTCATGGTGATTCTAAAGTCTTAAACAATTATCGATAGCCCTGTCTTTTACCATACAGCTCAAGTTAACCTGGACTCTTTTATAGAATAATTATTGCAAAATAATAAAGTCGAACCTCTTGTATCTGCTTGTTATCTAGATGGTTGCTCGTTTGAATTCGCTGGATCGTGAAATGACAAATGATGACTCAAGATTCACATCTGAGGCTAGACAAATGAATGATGAGTTGGAGAAAAAGAAGAATAGTTTGATTTCTGTTGAAATGCAGGCTGATGATTTTTTTAAGGTACTTCTTACCTTTTGTTTTGTTGATAGAACACGTTCCTTAATCTAGCACATTGGAATCATATAACTCAAACGGAATTTGATTTGATAGACATCGGAGAAGAAGCTCCAAGATGCAAGACTCAAAGCTGATGAAGAAACTCAGGCGGCTGCTAATAAGCTGCAGGAGCTTGTTTATTCCATGGCTGAACATAAAGAGTTCATGGGAACAATAATTGCTCAGAGGAGGAAGGACCTCCATGAAGCTGAAGATTATATAGCTTCTTTGGCATCTAGGTAATGGCTAGAGGAAGTTTGCTTCATTTCTTGCTGGTGCCTCTATTTTGGTCTGTTGATTGTAGCACTCTTGCTGGGGATGAGCTTCACTTGTGGGATACATATTCCTGTACCTGGTATAGTATATTGGAAAGGCAAGTAAATTTAGTATTTTGTTTTGTTTTGTTAAGGTAAGTCAAGTGCAATTGTGATTTTGCGTTGCTATTAGAATGCAATGACTGCTACCTTACAATCTGTTGAATCCAGCTGTTCAATTGCCAACACCGCTAATATGAAAGCTAGCTTTTCCGTTGCTAGAATGCAATGACTGCAGCTGTTCAATTGCCATTGTCTGGAAATTCTCTGATTATGCATGGCCTATGCCTGTCCAGTGTGTGTGTCCATGCCTCACTCAAATTAAATTAAGCTGTCAGACCAGTCTTCATTCCTAGTATCTGGAAGCTTGCTCTGTGGCACCTACCTAATCTCTATGTCTATCCCTTTTATCTATACAACTATCTATACAAACTGACTAGGACTCATCTATCGCCGCGCACGGTGAACCCGCCCGCGGGATTCCCCCCTCTGCATGATGTGTGGATTAAAAACTACGCTGTCTGCACTCCATCATCCCCACCCCCAACAATTGCATCGCCCGAATGCCTACTCTCTTGCCCAGCACCTCCAGCTTGCTGCCCTCTTCCGCTGCAACCTCCCAGAGGCCGCATCCGCGGAGGCTCGGACCTCTTCGACCCTGTCCCCTCTGCCGTTGAGTGCGCTGCCGCCGCAGCGTTTGGCTTCTCTGTCTCGAGCCTCGACGATGCCACTACAACGCTGATGCCCATTTCAGAATGGAAATTGATGGCTTGCAATAGAATCTAAATATTTTGCTGGCATTGCCCTGCCGCAGCATGCGCTCCCCCAAGCCAGCTCCTTTGGATTTGGCAACAATGCTGATGGGAGAGGCGGCGACTGGATCTGATTGAGGCTGCTGCCATTTCCCCTCTCATCTCAACAGCACCTTGCCTCTAGAACATCACCTCCCTGGAAAGCAGAACCCTCCCTGAGGTATCCCCTCCCTTCAATGTTTCTACGTACGCTCAGATCGGTGAACAATTTTTGGTATATCAAATTTTGTTCCACAATTGGTTTGGTTTTGTTTTGTCAATTTTTTGCATGCCATGGCACTTGGCAGCACATGCGTACATGCCTCCACGTGGTAATTTCCTTTATGAACCCCTCGCGCCATCGATTTGATTAGTACTCATCTGTTAGCATCCTGTTAGTTATAAGCAGAGTTGGTTGTGAATGTGTGTAGTAATGGATAGTAGATTAGTTGTACTCATTTCAATGCAGACATTGTCGTATAGAAGCAGATTAGTGTATTTTTTTCCTTCATCATATGGTGTTGCCACTTTCTGTGGGGGATATTATGTTTGACTTTTCTTCAAGCTCTTAATCTTGACTACTGAAATTTGCTGCATAAATTAGATGGGCTGTTGCTTGGATGCTCCTTAGCCTTCATTGCCCCCAAGGTGTTTGATAAAATTCTTGTAACATGGATTTCAGGATTTATATGGTGGCTGCAATATGCAATTAGTTGTCATATTACTGTTGGGTTTATACATAATATTAGTGTTGGGTTTATATGTTTTATTTCTTATCTTTGCCACTATTCCTCTGTTCTGTAGTTCAATGTTCATCTATGTAACGATCCACCTTTTTAGTAGATAACTAACCATGGATAAGTGAGCCATCAGTTTCTCTTAATTACATCAGACTAGATAATTGATACACATTGACATAAAAATACACAAATCATACATTAATCCTTGAACCTTATTCTTTACATGATCCAGACCAATTTAGCTTCACAAATTGCTACACACGCACACACAACATTCTTTACACTTCCAGGTGCAGACTAGTACACATCACTGTAGCTAAACCAACTCTTGTACAGTACTATTTTATACACCCGGGAGGTGCCATGCCCTTCTAGAAGGAGCTAGCCAATCCAGTAGCAGCAGCTTGACCACACACATTGCAGACCCTTGACCAAGCTGAGAAGTGGATGTAAATATATTCGTGGAGGGTGGAGAAGAGTACTAATACAAGAACTCAGGAGCGAAAGTGAAAGGAACATCCCCCATCGAAGTAGCAGCAAACCGGTTCTTGAGTCTCCACTCAAAGTTGAAGCCTAACAAGAAACACCTAGCCCAATCCTTGCATGAGAAAAACCACCAGCAGCCTTCCACATCAGTACAACATTTTGACTTCAGCACTCATGGAGAGCAACATGGGTTGAGAGGAAGGGGCTGACCAGTGAGGAAGTCAAGAGAAGTGGCCATGTGAGGATCATCCAAATCGAGAAGAAGCAGTGTAGTAGTCAAGATCTGCAAGTAGAAGGGGTGCTCGTGAGGCAGCACAAGTCTAAGGGGCTGTTTGGTTCCTGCAGGAACTCCTAAAATTCCTGTCACATCGAATGTTTAGACATATGCATAGAGTATTAAATTTAGACTAATTACGAAACTAATTGCATAACTTGCGACTAATTTACGAGACGAATCTTTTAAGCCTAATTAGTCCATGATTTGATAACATAGTGCTACAGTAAACATGTGCTAATGACATATTAATTAGACTTAAAAAATTCGTCTTGGAAATTAGCCTCCATCTATGTAATTGGTTTTGTAATTAATCTATATTTAATGCTCCTTATTAGTATCTAAACATTCGATGTGATATGAATTTTAGGAGCGACTAAGGGCCTGTTTGGGACTGCTCCACTCCAATTTTTCTAGCTCTACTCCAAACTCGGCTAGCCAAATAGGTCAAACTCTAAGAACTCTGCTCCAACAAAAAGGTGGAGCTAGAGGCCAACTCCACGTTTTTCTCAGAGCTCCTCAAGGGATACTCCAGAAAACAGCCTTTTGTATATCCTCGTGGAGTTCGTGGGAAATTACCCACCACTGCCACTCGTTACACAAGAATACCGATTCGTTCTGTTTCTCACTCCGCCGAGTCCCCGTCCACCTGCCTCCTCCCTCGCGACTTCTTCCATAGCGTCGTCTTTTCTTCCCCGTGAACCCTAGCGCCGCCGTCCGCTATTCTGGCCGCCACGACGAGCATTCCGGCAAGGTGATGGACGGAGAAGATAGATCCGTTGATCCTGAACTGGATCCTCTCTTTTCTTACCCCCAAATCCCCTCCGTCTTCCCTCCCCCAACTTCGCATGAAGCTGCTGCCGGCGTGTCTGTGGGTCGAGGAAGCTTCAGCAGTCGAACAGGGCCTTCAGCGCCGGCTCCATCCCTCTCCTACACTGACCTTCTCCTCCACATCTCCCGCAACTGCAAGCAACCGCTGATCCAGCCCGTTCTGCCTCCCGGTAAGGCGGCATCGGCGGCAGCGCCGGGGGCAGGGGAGACGGTGGACCTGAGGCGGCTAGCGTCGCGGTGGCGATCCCAGGCGGAGTGGGCCTGCGCGGCGGTGGAGCTGGAGGCTGAGCCGGCGCCGTCCGAGCTCAACACCGTCAACAGCTCGGGACTCTTCTCCGTCGTCTCTACCGACAAGTTGTCCGTGAAATACCTCGGCAGCCATCACCACGGCCACGACGTCGGTGTCGTGCAGGCCGACCGACCCGCTCCCACGAGCGTCAGGAACGCGGGATACAAGGGGCAGACATCCATCGGGTTCACGAACGAGAGCTTCAAGATGAGGCGACAACTGGGGTGAGGACCCTTGCCTTGCTACCCTGTTTTTTCTGATTAGTTAGGATATATGTTTTCTGCTCTGTCATTTATCATGAAAGCCTGGGATGTAATTTCCGATAATTGCATCACTTGTATAAATTCGTGTACAATTTGTTCCGGAAATCTACAAATGTTAGTTAAGTGACCATGATTGGCTATTTGTTGCTAAGGTCTTTTTCATGCTATAGCTAAATTTCTAATTGTAAGCTTAAAGGGACTGTCCTCGCAGACTGTCAGACTATTTCTGATTTATGGAATTTCTGTAGGTTAACTATAAAGACCCCTTCTCTTCTTTCCTTTACATTTCAAGCTGACCTCATATTGTAAATGCTAGTGTTTATGTGGATCATTGATTTTCTCTCTCTCAAATTTATCCTTTGTGCCCTTTGTTCTTTCTAGTTGGGAGTCGAACAGTTGTGGATACCATGGTGACGATGGCCAGCTTTACGTGGGTCAAGGGAAAGGTCAAGCATTTGGGCCAAAATTCACATCTGGTGACATAATTGGTGTTGGCATCAACTACCTGTCACAATAATTTTTTGACTGGCTATTACAACCTTCTAGGGCATTTTCCCCCCTTGGCTGAACATAGGATTATCAATATATTTGTATGGCACTTTGCCATAAACCTTTCTAGCTTTGCAAACATTCTTATCAGTACATCTGTAGAATGTCAAATCTTGAATTTAGGAAAAGAATCGAGTCTTTGTATATGCACCTGGCACCACTCTTTGGCTCTTTACTAGTTTCGACATGCCAATGCCATTTTTCTTTATGTTCAGGTTGGAATGTGCTGTATTCTTATTTTTGTTTCTTTCTCTTGAGGCTTTTACCTTATGCCCTTTAGATTTCAGAACATATTGCTGCACTGTGATCTAATTACACGTAGCATCTTGCAGGAAAAATGGAGCTCAAGTTGGCTCTACTGATGCACCGAATGCTCCTACTATGGACAAATTCCGTGATGACTTGGCCACCGCTCTTTCTCTAGCTTGGAACTAGAATTATGTATTAGTCACTATTCTCTAGTTATCTATGGACAACTATTTCTATTAGAATGATGGACTTTGTTATTTTATTTATCATTAGTCATGTATGGACAATTATTTGTATCCGAAATATGAACTTTGTCAATTATCCATCAAGCGCTTTGAAATTTACGTGACAAAAGTATGGAATTATTTAGCTGAAATATTTGTTTTTTACTTTTCTCCAATAAATTAAATGAGATTATAATATTTACACCATATTTGAATTGGTAAAAAAAATATTCAATTACACATGCTCTGCATACAACATAACATACATCAAATATCGATTAGGGGCATAGTAGACCTTTCCTATAGAAACCTCATGTTTCCAGAGCTGGAGCTAAACTGCGTGCCAAATAGGTCCACTTGTTCTAGAAACTCCACAGTAGAGCTGCTCTGTGATGGAGTCGGTGGAGCAGGGCTAAAAAATATGGAGCAGAGTAGTCCCAAACAGGCCCTAAAGAACCAAACACCTCTAAATCTGGAGCTGAACATCTCCACGTTAAGGTGAGGTACACAGCCTAGAGAAAAAATTCTTTGTCTACCAAGAGCAAAGAGCACAGAACACATACCATGGGGACAGCTGTGCTAGTTTTGCACATCAAACAAACACTAGATAATATGTTCAGACTTGCAAGAAAAAGATGTGCTAGCTGTTACTAGAACAAGAACTAGTATTCCTTTTAACAAAAGTACACATTACTTGAGCCTCGGCTAAAACTCTAACACAAGAACCTGCACATCTAAAGCACTCAGGTATGTAGCTTTGATTTACAGAGTTGCAGACTGGTATAAAAAACAAAGGAAAGGAAGATGTGGGAGAGAAGAACTCATTGTCAGGTTGGGGAAAGTTGTTGCCGGAGTCCAAATCCCCACACAGCAGCACACAAGGGGTTCCTTGGCCCCATCTTGGCGTCATGGCTGCCGGGCTTCAGCACCTCGGTGGAGCACGCCGCCGCCGCCCAATCTGCACACAACACAGAGAAGAAATCGAAGAGGAAAAATAGTCAGATAGCAGCTAGCTGGTGTCCTTGGGTTTGATTTTGAGGGAGTAATCGAGGAATAAAGCAAACCATGGTTGTCGATTTGGGAGAAATAGCTTGAGCACCATGAGTAGCAGAATAGGAAAAGATAGAGGAAGGAGAGAGACGAGAGGATACCGGAGGGTGTGCGTGTGTCTGTTGTGCTTTTGGGCTGCAAGACATCTGTACTAGCATTGAAGCAACAAGCGGATTGATGAAAAAAAAAGGTCTCAACTCTGTCATTGTGCTTGGGGCTTGGACTTTTGGAACCATTGGAATCGTTGCATCTTTAACGGTATTGTCCCCAGTCTCGGTGGTGTTGTTACCCTTGCTGGAGAAGAGCGCCGGTTGTGGAGTGTAGCAGACAGCCCCTCTCGCTGGTTAGCTGCTAGTCTTTTTGGTCGCTCCCTTCTCTGGGAGCGTGAACATAATTTCTAAGTTACGTGGGGTTGTGTGTGACGTGTGTCGTAGGGCTCTAGTATTTTTCTTTCTTCTTAATATAATGATGCGTAACTCTCCTGCGCTTTTTAGAAATAAGACTTTAGTACTAGTACTACACAAAGAGTGGCTTCAGTTAAGTACAGGTTCAGCTCACGTGAGAGTAAAAAGGAGTTTGACAATGCTAAATTAATTTAATGATTGTATAGATATGCAATATCCTTTTTATAAATCACAGCATAATTGATACTAAGTACCAGAAAGTTATTTCTTGACTGTAGGATGAACACATGGCTACTTATGTGCTGTATTTTTATTTGTGTGTTTTCTATTTTTTCTAAGTATCAGTATATATATACTAATTACAGGAAGCGAGCAAGGTCAGGTGCAAGAACATCCAACGAACCAAATTGAGCCCGAGTTGAATCCTAACAACTCAGGCATGAACCCTTGATCATTTTCTCCTTGAGTTTTTAAACAAAACTTGGTAAAATAAAAGTAACATGCATTAAATGTTATTTTCTGAAATTAATTATGGATGGATGACATGTGAATTGGATGACATGGGGTTAGCTGATGGAACAGCTAATTCCCTACTGTATATTTGGATGGAAAAGTTTGGTAGGATTAATAACCAACTCTCACTTGTGTTATTGGGCCGTATAAAATCGTGTCGACCATGAACTCGTTTGGGACGGGCCAATTCTAGTACCCATGAAGTTGTTATATAATCCCTACGGTAAACGAGGAGGGGTTTGGGTGATGAAATCCCCATTCAAGTGTCGATGAAGTACACCTAGGCGCATATATGCACACGTGGAGAGATGTGGATTATTATACGAAATGGGGAAAGTTTGGTATCTTGGCCATGAGACGCACTTAAGGAAGTGCGATGGAAAATTGGCTAGGATAATCATGGGTAAAGTGATATAAACCTGCACAGGATTAAATCATAAATTCATGTAATGTCTCTTGGAATAGAGGCTACGGAAACCTATGGGTGGTTCTCCCTCAAGATAAAGTGATTAGTAGTGTTTTTAAATTGAACTTGATATTTTCTACAAATGCTATTTTAAACAACAAGATGATATATTATTGATCATTTGATATGACCATATTGCATTGCTTTGATTTAATATATGCTTGCTGAGCAGTGTTTTCAGATCGGACGACTAATCGCGATTAATCGTGATTATTCGTCCTTATCGTAACTAGGCCCTCGATTAGTTTAGACCGATTAGAAACCTTATCGTTCGATAAGTTGCAACTAATCACGATTAGTCGTCTGATCAGACTAGCCGGACGACTAGTTGGGTAAGGAGAATTTGGCCAAGCTAAATAATTCGGCTCACCTTTAGCTGGCCTATTAGGGTAAGAAGAAGAGTGAGTGAGTGACCTAGTGAAGGAGCTGCAGCCGCCGCACATTTCCAGCTCCCGCTCTGGCCCTGCTCTCTCTCGCAGCCGACGGCACCTCCGCCCACGTCTCCTCCGCCTACGGCCTGCCTCTCTGGATCTCCCTCGCCGGCGTCCGCAGCTTCGTCCGTGCCCCTCGCCGGCGTCCGCGCCACTCGCTGGCGTCCACAGCTCCGTCCGCGCCTCTCGCCGGCATCTGCAGCTCCACCCACGCCTCCACCTCCGCCCGCTCCTATCTCCTCCCCTGCCGGGACCCAGTAGCTCCGCCCGCCTCTGAGGCTTTGTCGCTCTGAGCTCCTTCCTCAACGCCTGGAGGACGAACGCGGGAGGCCTCAAGCATCAAGATGAGCCACCACTCTGCCTCCTCTCAAGGTTATTGTCTATGTCTGCTACTCTGCTGCTGTGTATTGCCTGTTGCCATCAATTTGTGACACATTTGTGTGGCTGTGCCGCTCTGCAGAGGATGCTCAACGGCGTGCAGTTGTTGATGTAATTCTACCTAAGAATGAAGCTGTCTCGGGGAGGGCTGCCTCGGGCCGTCACATTGCTCCAATCAAGCATCTCTCGATAGCTCAAGCGATTGCTAAATTGCCGCCAGATCTTCTTGTCGCCATGGTGAAGATAAGAAGAGGAAGGCAAAATCATCAGATCATGGATGGAAATATGAGTTTTGGCCGGACATAGGGAAGAAAGAGTTCATCCAATGTATTTTTTTCGCAAAAGATTGTCCCCGCAGGCATTAAAAGGTTCAAGTAACACCTTGATGGGGGCTATTCTGATGCGGTGAAATGTGGTGAAGCACCTGAACTAGTTAGGCGTGAGATGAGCGGTTACTTGGTCACAAGGTCAAGGACTTAGGTTCGTGTACCGAGGACACTGGGGGGTGGAGATGCGAAATGTAAGAAGAAAGCAGATCAAGGTGGAGGTGGTGCTTCTGCTGCTGCTGAAAATGAACCAAATGTTGGGACAAAGTCAAAGCAAGTTCCAAGTTCTGGGACAAAATCAAAGCAAGAAAAAAAGATAGCTCAAGCATCAATAACGAACTTTGTGGTTTCTGCTCCACCAAAACCTCAAACATGAAGCATTCCAAGTCGGTGAGTTCTTTGCTTTGCAAGAGTCCGTAAGAAGTGGTTGCGTAAATGCACAAGTCCAAGATGTCACAGCCCACTCTTGAGTACTCCACAAAGAGCAAGGAAGCAAAGCAAATTGTAGATGACCATGTGGCTGATTTTTTTTATGAGAATGGAATACCATTGAATGCTATTAACTCAAGAAGCTGGGAGATTATGTTTGAGTCCATTGGGCAATATGGTCCTGGGTATCGCTCACCTTCATACCATGAGATTAGGAATCCACTACTTGATAGGGCAGTCAACAAGATAGAGGAGCTGAGAAAGAAGCATGAGGACGCTTGGAAGGAATATGGCTGCACAATCATGTCAGATGGATGGACTGACACTAGCCACCGTCATCTCATCAACTTTCTTGCGAATAGCCCAGCTGGAACATTCTTCTTAGGTTCAGTTGACGCTTCAAGTGAGATAGCCAATGCTTCTATGTTAGCAGACTTGTTAGAGAAACAAATTAATAAGGTTGGGAATGAGTATGTGGTGCAAATTGTCACAAATAATGGATCAAACTACAAGGCTGCTGGAAGAATTCTTATGGAGAGGATCCCAACTTTGTTTTGGACACCATGTGTTGCCCACTATTTGGATTTGATGATGGAGGACATTGGGAAGATACCTGAGTTTAGCTCTTGCATTAATTCGGCTAAGAAGGTGTGTAGGTTTCTCTACAAGTATGGGAGGATTCTAGATCTTATGCGAGAGAAGATCGGTGGTGATCTTGTGAGGCCTGCTATTACTCGCTTTGCTACTTCCTATCTCACATTAGTAAGCATGCTTAAGAATAAACAGGGGCTGAGGAGTTTGTTTATGAGTGAGGAATGGCATTCTAACAGCTTGTCAAAAAGTGTTGAAGGGCGGCAGGCTGAGAACATAATCCTTTCCATACTATTTTGGACAAAAGTGGAGTACTGTATAAAAGCAACACAACCCCTTCTCATTGCTATGAGGATAGCAGATGGTGATGAAACATCAGCAGCTCCTAAGATAATGGCAGCAATGGATGCTGCAAAGAAGACCATCAAGGAAACTTTGCGAGACAAATCATCATTACTGAATGATGTAATGGAATGCTATGACAAGAGATGGGAGAACCAGATGGAGCAAAAACTATATGGAGCAGCCCTCTTCTTGAATCCTGGAAAGTACTTTGCCATAAAGGAAAAGGATAGGTGACAAGCTACAAAGCTAAGGTGCATGTTTAATGACATTATATGGAAGATGGTGTCTGATGAGAGTGAAGCGAGGAAAATAAGTAAGCAAGCTGATGATTATGACAGGACTGAGGGTAAATGTTTCTCAAAGAGATTAGCAATAGTAGAGAGAAATAGCAAAAATCGTGGTAAGTAATGAACAGTTCAGCAGTCAACACTTTCTTTTAATTAAGCTATAATTCTCTATGTGATGAGCTACTGATTATATTATTGTTTTGCTTGTAATCTACAACTACAGTTCTATGGTGGGATGCTTTTGGTGGCCTTGCATTCGAGCTACAGAGTTTAGCAAAACAAATTGTAAGCCTCTGCTGTTCGGCGTCTGGTTGTGAGCGTAACTGGAGCGCTTTTGCTCATGTAAGTGCAATTTCTATGGCTGCAGGTGCGTACTAATGCATTCTTATATGCTGCATCCATCTAATGAATTTGCTCCTATTTTCTATGGCTGCAGGTGCATACTTAAAAGAGGAACCGTTTGGAGCACATTAGGTTGAATAAGTTGGTATTTGTTAGATACAACCGTAAGATGACATTCAGGTTTCAGAAAATTCGTGAGCTCGGTTCTTGAAGGGTCGAGATGGCGGACTAGAGGGGGGGTGAATAGTCTTTTCTAAAATTAATCGCGTCGGCTAACCGATATAAATGCGGAATTAAAACAATCGGTCTAGCCAAGACTACACCCCTCTATATATGTTCACTAGCACCTTGCAAAGATACTAATAAAGCAACTAAGGTGCCGGGCTAGCTAGAGCTCTCCTAAACAATTCTAGGAGCAAGGTCACACAAACCTATGCCACTAGTACTTTAAGTAACAAGGGAGCTCCTACACATGCTAGTAAGCAAAAGCACAAAAGCTAACTAAGCTCACTAGCAATGCTCAATAACAAGGCAACCAATGCCTAATTAGAGAGCGCAAATACTTAGCTACACAAACTAAGCAATGTGACTAACAAGGTTACTAAAACCAAATTAGCCACGCAAGGGAGCTACTTCTATGCTACACATGCAAGAAGGTAATTAGCTAGCTACACAAGCTATCTAATTACAAGAGCAACTACACAAGCTTAAGATATATATATATAAGTAATTGCAAGCTTGTGTAATGGGGATGCAAACCAACGGGAAGAACAAGGTTGACACGATGATTTTTCTCCCGAGGTTCACGTGTTTGCCAACACGCTAGTCCCCGTTGTGTCGACCGCTCACTTGGTGGTTCGGCGGCTAATTAGCATCACCCGCTAAGCCCGCACGTCGGGCACCGCAAGAACCTACCCCTTGAGTGAGGGTAGCTCAATGACACGCTTTACTAGAGTTGCTCTTCGCGGCTCTGGGCGCTGAGCACAATGCCCCTCACAAGCACTTCTCCGAGCGCCGCACAAGCTTCTTGCGCGCGCTTCGACGGAGACCACCACTAAGCCGTCTAGGAGGTGGCAACCTCCAAGAGTAACAAGCACCACCGCTCGCAGAACTCGTTCACCTAGTGCCACTCGATGCAACCTCACGATGCAATCGCACTAGAATCGCTCACTCACACAATCGGATGATCGCTATCAAGTATGTGTGTGATGGAGGGCTCCCAAGCACTCACAAGCATGGACACTAAGTCCCTTGAGGTGCTCGGCACCAGCCATGGCCGAGGGCCACTTCTATTTATAGCCCCAAAGGCTAAACTAGCCGTTACCCCTTCACTGGGCAACGGTCGGGACGACCGGACGCTCCGGTCCGATCGACCGGACGCTGGACCTCAGCGTCCGGTCGTATGCGATGCACGCCACGTGTCCCTCCTTCAAATGCTATTCACTTGGATCTCAACGGTCATCCGTCGATCGGACGACGCTCCAAGATGAACCGGACCGGACGCAGCAACCCCCGGCCGTCCGGTCGTTTCAAGAAGCTCCGAGCATGACCGGACGCGTCCGGTCGAACGCGATCGGACGCTTGACACCGTCCCGTCACTCTCTCGGCTTATGCGTCATCGACGTTACCGACCGGACGCAGCTCGCCAGCGTCCGGTGCATTCAGATTCAGCGTCCGGTCGATTGACCGACGCCAAAGATCTTCGCGACTAACTCGTTTTCACTTCTAACTTCATCACCCTTGCTCCAATGTGCTAACCACAAGAACTTGCAACCGGCGCAATAGAAAATAGGCATTCTATTTTCCCGAAAGCGCCGAATCCCACCTCGCAAGCTCGGCGGGAGGGAGAGAGGGACCCAAACCCATCTCACGCCTGCAAACACCACCTCCTTTGTAAATGTGCCAACACCACCAAGTGTACACCACCATGTGTGTTAGCATTTTCACAATCATTTCCCAAAGGATGTTAGCCACTCAACTTGCCACACCACTCGATCCTAGCGACAATGCAAAGTTAGATCACTCGAGTGGCACTAGATGACCGATATGCAAACAAGTTTGCCCCTCTTGATAGTACGGCCATCTATCCTAAACCCAGTCATAAACTTCTCTACACACCTATGACCGGTGGAATGAAATGCCCTAGGTTATACCTTTGCCTTGCGCATTCCATTCCATCTCCTTCAATGTCGATGCAACACATGCACCAACACGATCAACAATGATATGATCCACTTCATATCATCACATGATCATATTGGTTCATCGATCTTGACTTCACTTGCCCTTCACCGTTGCCATCGTCCATCGGCGCCAAGTCTTGCTCAAGCTTCACCGCCACGCGGTCCATCACTCCAAAGCCTTCGACTTGCCCTTCACGCTTGCAACCGGTCCATCAAGCCAAGTCTTGTCTTGATCTTCTCCACCTTGATCACATGACTCAATGTCATGTCTCATGTGCAATAAGCTCCTTCATCATCACATGTGTGAGCTTTGCAACATCTCCAAGCCATTTTCACCTCCATGGCATATGTTGCTCATACACATGTACCTGTGGACTAATCACCTGTGTATCTCACATAAACACAATTAGTCCACCTAGATTGTCACTCAATTACCAAAACCAACAAGGACCTTTCAGTTCTAAAGGCAAGAAATCCAACCCATTGCTGCTAGAAGAGTTTCAATGGGAAAATGAGTAGGTAAACATCAACTGTGACCCAGTTCATGCATCTAATGGCAGTGATATCCTTTGGACACATGTTGATGAAGTTGTTGGTGCAACCGACCAGCTTAGAGGCCGCAATATGCCTAGGGCTGCTGCTGCTCGTGCGAGGAATACTATCACCCGCACATATGGGAGGAATAACAAAAGGAAGTGTCTAAGTCCAAGGTCAGATGCACCAGCAACTGAAAGCAGTGATCATGAAGAAGAGGAAAACAGAGTTGCACCGTAGCAGCCCACAAGGTGCAAGTGCAACAGATGAAGAAATGGAGGACCAGGGAGGGGAGGAAGACTCAGGCGGACCTGCAACAAATGATGGAAATAAAGACTTCCATGTGGACGCAGATTTACTTCTCTAGATGGCTGAATTACTGGTTATCTCTACCCCTATAATACACCACTTCAAATTATCCTACAGCCACCAAATAAATTCCACCTCTACAGTCACGACCTAAACTACGTCCACCCCACAAAACGCATACAGAAAAAGATAACATTAAAAATGTACGCACCAAATTAACTCTCACTCATTCTCTCTCCTTACTCAACCACATCCGACGGCCGATATTCTTTGGATCTCCCACCCCCCGTCTCCCCACTTCACGGCTCCACCCCACCCACGCGCGCAGACGCTGATGCCTTCTCTTGCTTTTTCGTTCTCCCCTTCAACCAGAAGAAGCCCGACGCCCTCGCCGCTGCCACCAAAATCGCACGCGAGCCCAAGAGATCCCCAAACCCTACTTACACTCGTCCGCCGGCCAGCGCACTCGGGGATCCTCGAATCGAGCAGATTGATGGAGGAAGAAGGAGCCTCAAGATGTTCCGCAACCAAGATGACACCGAGCGTTACCACACATGGAGCCCCCCAGGCGGCTGTTCTGTGTGGAGTACGCCATGGAGGCCGTCTCAAGCAGGATCCGCTTTGCATCGGGCTCTGTTTCCCGCACTCCACGCCCGCCCGCCGCCGTCAACAAGCCCGCCCCGAGCTCTCCTCCTACCGGCGGAAGGTGTTCAAGCGTCCGAAAGCACCACGGGTCGCGCGCCGGCCTCACCGCCGATGGACGCGTCCTCTCGTGCTTCCTCCGCAATGAGTGCATCAACCACTCCTTCGTCTCACGAGGCGTCGCTCCCCATCTCTAGGCTCGCGCTCAAGCTCGCCGACAGCGCGCGAGGTCCGTCGTCTCCTTTTCGCATCTCAGACTCCTCTTCCCTCCCTCCCGTGATCCCGATCTCTCTCTCTTACGAGCCCGCAGGCGAGTGGAACATTAGAATTCTCATGGTTTGAGTCACTGTGACGAGTCGAATTTGTGCTTCAGATTCGGTGATTGTTTGTCCGATCTGCGATTGAGTCTAGCCGTTTAGGGTGTTCTCATTGATGCGATTTATTAGAATTTTACGGTAATATATAGTTTTCCTCTTGGCTTGCCCTTAGTCCCAAGATTGTTATATAATCAAGGTCTCCGTCCTCCACAAGTCTGAAGTTTGAACTTCTCTCTCCTAATCTTCACCGATGTAGTTGACATGTTATTCGATTGTAGTTGATAAGAACCGTGTTCTACCGTCCGAGAGCAAAACTAATATTTTCTTTCTATCACTCAATTTCATTACAGATACAACTACCACCTTCTTTGTCAACGATAATCGAACAAGGACAAATCTCAGTTCGAGAAACAATGCTTAGTTGCTTACTCATGTTTCACATTCAAGTCTCCCTCTTGTTGTTGTTGCACCTACAAAGGTAACTGTTCAGTATTTGTTTAGTTAATTTTTTGGTGTGTATAAAGAGATCTTTAAAATGATTGCCAAATCAAGCACAAACACCCTCGCCCCTCAAGTATGTTGTTCTCATTATCTTCAACTTTCTCAAAACTGCTATCATG